GGCTCTCTGTCCTTCGGAAAAGATGGATCACCTCCTGTGTGCTGGTTGTAGCTCGGGACATGTAGTAAAAGCAAGAAGACGAGCACAGTCTGATGGAATGGACTTGTGTTGAAGGGTAGGGTCGATGCTGCTGCATGTGCCACCTGGGAAGAGGGTGCAAATCTGCTTGAGATGAGTCAGCACATGGTGGCTGTGGTCTGCAGATTTCCCCACTCATCCCAAATAGAGCCTTTCCCATGGACTCCATCTTCTGGATATTGCACACATTTGTGTGTGCTGTGCATAGGAGGGAGGTCCAACAAGTAGCCCTGCTTCATACAGAAGCAATTCCAGACAACTTGCTTGTAAAGATGTTTTTCACAATAGACATAGCCCACTGTGTCGTTTTGATCCATTCCCTGTATACAACTTCCGATGTGTGTAAGTGTATACAGCCTGAGTGGCAAAACCAGCTCTCTTACTATTATGAGCCAGTTGTCCCCTATCTGAGATGTTTCTGTGGCTGGTTGGGTAGTATAATTCTCTTAACTGACTTCCAGCGTGGGTGCAGACATCTTTCATAGCCAGTGAGATTATCATCTTGTTGCTCTTCAGCTGCACTTATCAATGGTGGGATGAGATGCACACATGGATAAAAGTTTACAGGGGAGGGCAGTTCAGCCTAGCATCTTCTGGCATTTAGAGTGGAATTCAGCTTCCCTGACTTCGACATCTGAAGATGGTAGGTTGGATTTAAACACCATCCCCCTAATGACAGGCATCTGAGATGCCTCGGGTGAGACTTCCAGAAGTGCCTACTTCCTTCAGGGTCTAAAGGAGGAACCAGTCAGGTGACTGGTTCCATTTCAGACACCTACGTTTTAAATGCCTAAGGGCAGATAAATTCCACTTCTTGTAGTAGAAATTGTAAATTATTTGGTAATATTGAAGGTGCTAGAGTACCTCCTAAATGCTTGTATAATGTGCAGGATATTCTACCTACAGGGGTAGTGTGGGGAAGGCTGAAGATATGTGAGGGTGTGCATACAGGCTTAGGCGTATACATGGTGCACATATAGTCGTAGAACTAGAATTGTGTTATTTAACAGAGCCGACCCAAACTTTGCAAGTGTTAAGGAGTCTTAAGATCAGCATTGGTGATGGAACACCTCAGAGGGGATAGCATCTGGACAATCGGCTGTGGAAAACCAAGAGAAGAGAGTGCAGAGGTGCTGGCCAGAGGGACCAAATAACAGTAGACAGCTAGCCTCCATCTTCATTAATCTTTAAGTCCAGTGTGCTGGGTTGGGTTAATGGCAATGCTGTCAGAGTGCTGAGAAGAATTGTGCTGTAGGAATTGGCAGAAGCTAACTGCCTGACAAACAGAGTGCACACTAGTACATAGCTAGGACCTGTTCATCCAACCCATCCATCCTGCTGCGGTTGTCTTTCTAGCTTGCGGAAGTCACCCCTACATGTCCCAGTTGCTTGTTTGCAGCATTCATAATAGCTGAGGTATTGGTGATAGTGATAGACAAGTTGTTGGGAGACTTTTTCCAGTTGGCTTGATCTGTGTGGTGGCCATTTGTATATGACTACTGTGGTGAAGGGTTTCCAAATCTTAAGTTGCCAGACAAGTGCTTCACATTGGCAGGTTCACTGACATTCATTGGTCAGACTCCCCAGAAGCACCTCAGGCTGTCATTCAGAAGACACCTCTGGTGCCTTAGACCTTTTTAGAAGAAAAAAAAAAAAGGAATATGACATCTTTATTTCCTTTCTCCCTGCATTACGGGATCACCATTCCCTTTTCATACCACTGCCCCCCTACTCTCATGTGGATGGCTGTCATTACTGCATATCTCCAGAATGCAGGGAGCAGCATCCTATGAGATCTAGACTAACGGTGCTCCACAAATTGCTTGTAGGAAGCACCCACTAGCCCCATAGTCCCACTGAAGTCTTATACACAGTTAAATTGCTCTTTCTTCTTGTTCACAGTGCGTAAGCAAGAGATCATTAAGATAACAGAGCAGCTGATAGAAGCCATCAACAATGGAGACTTTGAGGCTTATACGTAAGTACAGATGTCTTCTGACAGTTTGTTTATCAATTTATGTGCAAGTGATGTTCTGGCTCCTGGGAATGAGGAGTTGGCCTGCAGTCAGGGATGGTAAAAAGTTTTTTGCATTTTAGGCTCCGTCAATTAGGAGTAGGGATATGGTAGAGCTCTCTAAATGAACATCAGGTAAAGTCAGGTATCAAACAGCAACAGGAGCGACAAAAGGAAAATGTCCTGGCTTTGTAAGGAAAGTAGGGGGGAGGGCAGTGAGATGGGCAGAAAGAAAAGCCAGAAACGTGGAGGCTTGTTTTATGTGAAATGCCAGCTAGCACCAACTCTGTGTTACTGCAGTAGGACTAAGTCCTCCAGGAACTTACTCCTTGGAGTAGGGAAATAGTTAGGTGGACACAGGGCGTGAGTCAAATGCCGTACCAGCGCTTCATTGTGTCAATAGTCCTTGGGCTCAAATACAGACTGTAAGCCTGTGGTGCTTTTCTTTGCAGAAAAATCTGTGATCCTGGCTTGACCTCATTTGAACCTGAAGCACTGGGGAACCTGGTTGAAGGAATGGATTTCCATAAATTTTACTTTGAGAACTGTGAGTGGGTAGATTTGGTAACACCAACAGCTTTCTCTCTAATCTTCTTTTATGCCACGTTTTGGGGGGAAAATTGCCCATGTTTTTAATGGCTATCAGAACCAGCAAGAACTTGATTGTGCATGGGTTATGATGCATTCATAAGAGCGAGCATGCTTTCTCTCAAAAGCCTTTTTCAGTAACAATTTCAATTCTAACCCCCAGATCCCTTCACTGTAGTCATACAGTTTGCTTGGTGCAAATACTTTGTAAGCATGGACTGCAGGAGCTTTAAAAGTTTGAGGCACCAGATTTCCTACTGATATGGAAATGGAGAAAATGAGCATATTTTGACAGAAACAACATGTATATTTGGGGTAAACATGCTGAATGGTTGGACATAAAGATAGTCATGCACAAATCAGTCATGCCTTCGCTTTAAGTTTTCCCTGGACGGTTTCATATCTCTTCAACACCTAATGAACCTGTTACGTGGATACAAGGGTCACCTTGTCAGCCTGGGGCAGGAAAAAGAGTTGGGAGAAATGCTATCATTTATACTAGTGAATTTGCCTCCCTTCCTGGATGTCTCCACAGGATGAGATAATTTAAATTTAAATCGTGAGCTGTTTAATTTTGGGGGTTAGGTCAAGGTCCTTAGTAAAGGCAATTCCTAGTGCTCTAAGTATGCAGAGGCTTTGTCTCTCTCAAAAGCCTGTTCTGGAGTGATTTTTACACTTCTCTGAGGCTTGTTCATATTTAATGCAGGCCTAGCTTAAGGATCACCTGATTATTGACTCCTTTGTAACAATGTTCTGTAATTAAAAGATCTTTTCCTTAACTGAAGAAACAGCAACACTGATGTTGAAAAAGTGGCAAGTATGCTTTGCAGAAGAAGTGGGAGCAAAGGGGCAAGGGGATTCTGGGCAATAATAAGTGCACAATTCCTAAGGAGAAGAACAGGTGATAGGGGAAAGAATTGCTCGGATTTTGCCTGGAAAATTGTAGGAGCAATTTTTATGGTATCCCAGAATCCAGTGGAAGGTGAGTAGAATACAAAAGAGGTTGGAGGATGTGGGGGCTGTTCCTTCTTAATAGTAAAGTGAAGCTGATGGTTTTGCATGTTCTGCCAGTACTGTCGAAGAACAGCAAGCCAATACACACCACCATCCTGAACCCCCATGTCCATGTCATTGGTGAAGATGCTGCCTGCATCGCATACATCCGCCTGACACAGTACATTGATGGCCAAGGCCGGCCTCGCACCACGCAGTCTGAAGAGACACGCGTCTGGCACCGCCGAGATGGCAAGTGGCTGAATGTCCACTACCACTGCTCTGGAGCTCCTGCAGCACCTCTCCAGTGAAGATCAAATACGGGTATGGACTATCAGGGAAGGAGTGTGTCATACACACAGCTAAGGCTGCTGTATGTGGGAATTCAGTATTCAAGGCTGTTTAGGTGGCTGAGAGAGAACCATTTTTAGTTGTCTGTAGGCTAAAAGCTTCTGCTGATCAGTTGGTGTTCCTTTCTCTAAGCCCTGTCCTCTGGACTCAGTAGGATTATCTGCCACTCCTGACAAACTGGAGTCGTGCAGACGGTTGTTCCTGAGCGTAGCTACCGTTGTAGCAGCAGTGCTTCCTCCCAGGTACTCAGCTCTGTGCTCGGACAGAGTGCTAATCCAGAGCAGAGAGGAAGAGTATCTCATGCTGTCCACGGGTTTGCTGTATCCCAGTTGTCAGGATATTGTAAAATCTATACATAACAATTTCTATGCCATAAGGGTAAAGATTTATTCATATAAATTTTACTACCGATTTTCTGATTAGCAGAAGCTATTAAGTGTACAATGTTGAGAAAACTCGGAAAAAAAAATCTAAACAGATAATAATATCAGAGGATTTAAAATATCCCCCAATTAGCTTGCCACAATTCAGCATTGGAAGAAACTTTGATTATAAAATTTGACACGAAGAAACGATTGTTGCTTGCTCCTGAAGGACAGCAGATCCATTTGCTTCTGCAGCATTTAGGCATTCTTGTTTATTGCCTTACTGGTTTCTTTTAGTTAGATGTACAAAGTCTTTCTGCCTCCTTTCGTTTTATGCTGAAGTATATGTCACATTCATCTTAAAGATCTAAGTTTCCTAATCTTAGGATCTTTTTACTAAAGATTTCCTATTTAAGAGCAAATACAAAAAAAATCTACACCTGGGAGACAAGCTTTTTTAAATGTGGTCATTTGAAGATGAACCACTGAAGTATAGTTACTAATTGAGTCCTAGTCTTATGTACTACTTGGGACTAAGCCAAGAGCAGTTTTTATTCTTAGGTGTAGTGAGGGATTCAACCCTACTGAAAGCAATAGAAAGGAATGTGAACTATCACAAGCAAACTGCACAGGTCACAGATGGAATTTGAAAAGCAAAAGCCAGTTGGGGGCACCAGAAGCAGGGAAGCTTTCAAGAGAGCTGGACAATCAGCTGAATTTCCAGGGAGTAAGGCAGTGAGAAGGATAAAGCCTTTGCAGGGAAACAAAAAATAACTTACTTGCATCAGTTTTCATCACAGAGATGTTGAGGGAGACTTCTGTCCTGGATTTAGTGCAAAAAAGATGCAGAAGAAATTACTAAATTAAAGGTCGGTATGGCTCAGTGGCTGTGCCTAGGAGTTCTGAGGAAGCTTAGGAATGGAGAGTCTTAGCTACTACAGAAGAGGTATGTTTCCTTGACTTGGCTGCTGAAATGTTGCACCTCGTCCAAAAGTATGTGCTGGAGGGTTTTTGAAAACGGCAGAGCAGAAGCCATTTCCAAACCACAAAATGTTGGTTAAAACAATATTTTAAAAAACCTACAAACTAAATTGAAGTTGAAATATTTGCATGCATTTCTGGGTTCTGAAGGAGGTGTAATCACATGCAATTACAAGTGGGGTCAGTGTGGGCAGCCCCCATCTGAACACTTGAATCATTTTGGAGCAGTGTTGGCCCATGTGCAGTGAAGGGTAAGGATGAAGAAGGAATGAGGTGAATAAGAACGCTTAAATAGAAATCAGTGGTTTGTTCTCACCTGGAAGGCAGAGTTCAGTTTTGGGTAAGTCATCTTAAAAGGAAACTGCAGCCGTAAAAGAAGCTTGAGGTCAATCAGAGGACTTCCGTGTAAGGAGAGAGTAGGAACCAAGAAGAGAGAAGGCTAATAAGAGAGTTTGTGACAAAGATTTGCAAACTAAGAAATGGTAGAAATAAGATTTTGGCTGCACTTTCATGGCAGGACAATGCTAAACAAACATGAAAAAAACCCAAACTTAAAACTAATCAAAATAAATCCAGTAATTTGACACAGGAAGATTAGCCAGGAGGAGCCTTTGCTAAAAGCAGTCACTAGGGCTACAACTTTGCAAAACTGCGGAGAAGCTCATACATTTGTTTAAATATTAAGAACATTCAGAGACAAAATTACTGGAGACTTAAAAAAAAAAAAACCAACACCACCACAAAACAAAACCCCACAAAACAAAAAACCAAAACCAGATCTTTCAGTTCAGGGCAAAAGCCAATGGAAAGTGAGGCAGAAACTCTTCCTTAGGACCAGATCTTTGATCACCCTTGGGAAACTTCTTCAACTTCTGGGACATGTCACTATTAGATAGTGGGCCCAGGTCTGCTCCAATTAAGCAAGTAATTCATTTTAGCAAGTAGTTCATTTTCATTGGCACACTCAGCCACCTGGAAGGGAAAGTGTGTGCCTCCTCTTTTCAGGGCTCTCCTCACAAGCTCCAATCTGTGTTGCATTAGGAAGGTTTTCTGCCTGCACCAAATAATTAGCCTGTAGAAAACGTGTTTTATTAATTGTGTACAGCTAATGTTTGGCTTTATTTCCTTCCATCTTCCATCCTGTTCTCCCCTCTCCTTTCTGGGTGGACACTACCTCTTCCTGACTGCAGCAACTTGTGGAGATACTCAGCTGGAGGGCAATATCTTCTTAGCAAGCAGCTCTGGAGTGCCTGAGTGACAGCAACGGTCATGTCTGTTTTGACGTTAAAAAAAAAAAAATACAAATTACAAACAGGCAGCAGCCAAATGCACGAAACCCTGCATGCATCTGATGCTCCGGGCGCTGCCTTTCTGTTGTTTTCCATGGATCCATCGTGTCTGTTTCTGCTGTACGAAGGTGTTTTTAAATCTAAAGAAAAAAAAGACACGTTGTTTGTATAAAATAATAAAAAACAGGAGTAATGCTAAATAAATGACAGATTATCCAACGTGCCCCCTCCCCCAGGGCTAAGAAAATGGCAGCAGCTGGAACATCTTTCAGAAATGAAGTGAGGGGGAAAGCAAAAGTGAAGGAGAGAGGAAGAGAGAGGGAGAGCAAAAAAGGAGGCGGCTTGAGCAGCGGATGGCTGAACTGTGCTCCGCAAAGCCATGGTGGAAGCTAACATCGCATTCAGGCTGTGCTGCGACTTCAATCGGTGAGAGGTGGCGGGGAGACCCCAGAGGAGCCAGTGTGAAGACTGGGGTTCAAGAGAGACGAGGCGCTTCTCTTCCTGTTGCCTGGCAGACTGACTTCAGCCTGAGTTTCTTTGATTTTTGCACAGCAAGAACGCTATGGAAAGCTGGTTGCTCGGCTGCTGGATCCCGAAACAGACTTTTTTTTTTTTTTTAAAGAAAAAAAACCAAAATGGGATGTTGATTTAAAACTAAAGGTGGAAGTAGGGATTAAAAAAATGGGTTTAAGTGAATATAACTTAAATAGAAGCTTGCTCTTCAGAGATACTGGTTTTAGAAACAGCCACTACCTGGCCAAACATGGAGGTTTGAAGCCAGATTATTTAATTTAACAAAACAAAACAAAAAAAGCATTGCATTAAGAGCAGAGATTTGAGAGGAAGAGGGTACGTGTATGGGATTTTCTATTTTTTTTTTTTCCTTTCTAGTAGCATAGTTGGGATCCACAGTGCTGCAGAACACGTGTTCCTTAGGAACCAGACAAAAAACTTAGTGTTATGTTCTTCATGAAGACTTGCACATACACTCCTATATGAGGCATAAATAGCGTGTGTTTTTTATACTGAAATATATGCACCCATAGAATTAAAGGGGTTACCTGGCCTCCTGTTTGATTTGTTTGGTCTCCGAGGAAAATAGCAGTGGGAGCCAGCAGCCCCAGCCAGGTGCTTCTCCCCACCACTAACCCATCTGATGTTTGTAAGTGTCATGTTTCCTAGTGTTTATTTGGGTAATTTTTCTATTTTTTACAGTGATGTTGTAACACAGAAAACTATCAGATCAGAACCTCAAAAACCGTAGCCGAAGGACTCCAGGCCACCTCCCTGTGTTGCCTCTGGGTGTTAGAGGATACCTCATGAAGCAGAGGGGAAAGGGAGTTAGCACATGTGATCTGATCTTTGTCCTTTGGGCCAATTCATCTTCGTTTCTTTTCTCAAAGGAGTCCATTACCTTTATTAATTGGATGGGGAATGTGGAAGTATTTTGTTGACCTTACCAAGGCGGGAGCCTAGCCCCAAGAAGAAGATGGCCTTTCAGGCAGACCAGATAGGATTTTCCTTGACCAAGGGAAGGCATCACTTGCAGAAGTTGGGATGGGCTTTTACCTGAATTTCTGTCTACCCCTAATCATTTTTCGGATCTTTCGAGGGAGTTAAAGTGATTGCATTGACAGCATACTAAGTGTGATGCAACCTTCTTACAGACTACAGAAGAGAAGAAAGCCAATTTGGAATTTTAATCCTTATTTAACAGAATGTGGAAAATAAAAGCTGTTGCACAAAGTGGAGCTGTTGCTTCGCAACAGATAGCTCTCTGCTCCCTTTGTTAGCAAGGTGCTATCCCACACCAGGATTAGATCAGCTAACCCTGATGAAGGAAAAGACCATCCACACTTCCGAGGTTTGTTTGAGCAAGTACCCTTTTCTTCCTCCCTCCACCACCTCAGGGAGGAGCGTAGGGATTGAACCCATGGGAGGCAAACACTAGATTTTATTATTTTGAAACATTTTTAAGACAGCACTAAGCCAGTGAGTGAAGTGGAAAAGTGAAAAGCCTTGGTATTTTATTCAGATTTTTTTTTAAAGCCACAAAGTGAGAGCAAACAGGAGATTACAATTATGCCATTTAAAAAAGATAAATACAAAACATTATGCATGCCTTCTTTAGGTCTGATCTTCCTTGTCTCTTTACCTGATGATTATTAATAATTAAAAAGAAAGCCCTCTGTATTAAGTATCTGCATCTTTCAGAGAAAATTTAAAAAGAACAGAACTGTTGGTTTTTTTGGTTTTGCACAGTCTTGGAGACAAACTCTGTTTTGGGTTTTTTTGTTTGTTTTGTTTCCTTTTAAGTTAATGAGAACCTTAGCTTGGTATGGCCATTATCAAACACAGCTGTACACCTTTAGCATTCTTAATGTTCTCTTATGGGGCTAATATAAGCATCTATATAATATATATTATAAATATCACATTTTAAACAGGAAATGGAAGGCATTTGATGCAGAATTTTTGCATGATATAGAAATAATTAAAGTTAACTAGTGTTTGTTTGTTTGGTCTGAATGTTGGTAGAACCTTCATAGCTTTGTTACAATGAAACCTTGAACTGAAGATATTTAATAAAATAACATCTAAACAGTGTAAAGTTTTGAGCATCACGTTTTTCTCTTAAACCAGGGGACAACGTGGAATTGGCACTTCTGGGATAAGAATCGATCTGCAAAGTTGGTTTTTTTGTGTGTCAGTAAATCATGTGATTTAAAAATGTAAGGTTTAAAAAGGAAGAAAGGTGAGTGGTAGGCACCATACCTAAAACAAAAAAAATTAGCGTTAATAAAAACAAAGGGACAACAAAGCCTGTTAAAATGAACTTTATGGCATTTCCCTGACAGACCATGGGATAATAGGAAATGTTGCTTCTGTTCCTGATGGCCTTAACCCTTGGCAAGCCTGTGCCATTACCTCCTTTCTTGGTCTTTGTTTTCCTCACCAATATTTCAGACTCTCTGTGGGAGAAGCCGACTCGCCGTTACCTTTGCCTGATGTAAACATGCTGAATTCAAGCTGGCTGGCAGCTCTTTGTGAGCTAGCGTATTTTGTGTCCTAGATGGGATGCTCCTGCGGAGGCACAGGGCAACCGCTCATCTGTACAAATTTGCCTGGTCTAGCAGCGTGAGCGTGATTTCCCAACAGAAGTTAGAAGTTAGTTGGATTTAGCCTGGTTTGTTTCTATACTGTCTCTGGTTTCATTTATGCTGCCTCGGGTAGGCTTTGTTCCACTCAGGCCTTCGCTGCTTTGGCATTCTTCTTGTCTTTCCCACCTTTCACTGTTCACGCTGCTCTGCGGGGGGCAGGCGCGGGCAGCGGGGAGCCTGCAGCGAGGGGCTCTGGCCCTCTGCGGAGACCCCTTCCCAGCCGGGCCGGGGGCGCGGCG